AATGAAAATACATCCTGCATATCAGATATTTACATTACGATTCATAACAGTAGCAAAATTACAGCTATGAAGTAGCAATGAAAATAATTTTATGGTTGGGGGTCACCACAACATGAGGAACTGTATTAAAGGGTCGCGGCATGAGGAAGGTTGAGAATTTTTCCTCATTGTGTTTGCTCTTCCTGATTCTCTAGTTGGCAACTAGCAGATAGATGATGGAGAGCTAGAGGTGTTATTTAAAATCCTTAGATTAGAAGAGATTATGCGGGGAATGAATATACATGGAGAAGAGAAAGGGTCCCAGAATTCAGTCACTAGGCTGGCCAACTCTCAGAGGCCTGGCCAGAAGAAGGGACCAGCAAGCAGACATAAATGTCTGTGCTAAGAGTTTTGCTGTAAAGCAGGTCAGGGCAGTAAGTGGAGGGGGGCGTTTTCATTGTGCTCTGTTGTTAGGAAGGGAGATGGCTCAGCATGTTTCCTGCTGTAAGATGCAGAGGGGAAACGTGACGAGCAGCAGAGAGAACAGGGGGCTGTCGGAGGGGACCGTGGCCTCTCCAAGGCCAGTGGAAACAGGAGCCCACACACACTTGGGGGGTTCGGATGGATCACTGCCAGCTCATTCGTAGGATCCGGAAGGCAGGCCTGGCCGGGGAAGACAAGAGGGATGAAGTCTGTGGAAGTTAACCTGCTGCTTCTGGAAGTTTTAGGAGTGAGGAGTAGTGTTCTAGAAGAGTGGAAGTATGAATGGAACAGGACGACCCAGGAGGCCCTCACTGAAATGATCACCCAGAGACTAGAGGTGAGTTCAGGACGGGCACAGGCAAGTCTCTCTGAGTAAAACGTCCTGAGAAATGGATGTCCAACCGATAAGGAGAAGGGCATCTGAGACTGTGTTTTTTAGAGTCATGGCTTGTAACAGTGACCTTCACATTGACCTTCACCTCTGTGCTCACTGGAGCAGAACTGAGCAATATGTTCACCCACTGGAGCTGTAAATATATTTTGCTGTTCCGTTCGCATGGCAACTTACCTAATCTCGGTTAATTATTCTGCAAGAACTCCCACAGGACATCACGGAGCATATTCCTGGAGTGTCCCTATAATTGTCTGTCGAGGGCCTAGATGGCAGTTTCATTTAATGACTTAACGCAAGCCTCTCGGTGAACGCAAATGTTCAGTGAAGTCCGGTTAGGCTGCCCTAAGAGGAGGTCAGGTGCCCCACACACCCCGGCCGCTGATGGGGACAGTGTTTACAGGCGTATAACTCAGTCTGACCTCACCCTTAAGAAAATATACGGAAGGCCAAGCATAAACTCTAGGAAAATGTAATGCGGGAATTCCCACTCAAAATGGGAACCCAAACTGTACGTATGGTACCTGCGAATATGTAGCAGCTCTAGAGAAAAAAACTACAAAAAAACTTCTGAGAGACATAAAGTAAGAGTAATAAATGGAAAACATACATTATTGGATATGGCACTTTTATGGCTTTCAGGTGTATTGAACATGGAAAATTTACAGATCTGAACACTGAAAGGCTCATGGAAATAGGGTGCTGTGTTTATTTGGAAGATGCATTAGCAGCGGCAGCAAAGGCTTCGGATCAGCTACCCGCCCCCTGCGATAGCACAGGAACCATGATCTCCTTCGAGGAAGTAGCAGCTGCCATTTGGTCTTTGGCTTCTCAGTCAGAATGGAAGTTTACCCCCCCCCGCCCCCACACACACACACCCCTGCTGATCACAGTGTTATACAAATGCCTACATCACACACACACACACACACACACACACACACACACACACCCCTGCTGATCATAGTGTTATACAAATGCCTACATCAAAGTCCTGAGGTAATTAAGTGATCTCTTCCATTTCCCCATAGGATATTCTAATTAGCATACATTTCCTTAATTCGCTGCCGTCACCAAGGACAATGAGATTCTTCCAGTTGTATTTATTTTTTTGCTCGACAACAAATTGTACTTGCTGTTTTATTGCCTCAGAGTGAAAATACATAGATTACCCATAATCAATCTGTGGCAAAACTGGCTCCGGGAAAATGAAGGATTATTAGGTCATTATCGAAGCCTCCCTGGTCAATCAAGGGCAGACTCGCTTCGGCAGTCACGCCCGGCCATCTCCTTCTCTTCTTCCCACGCCAAACCCCACATTAACTGGCTTATCTATTCTTCCCCTTTGACCCGAGCGACTTGGGCAAAGCTGACCCATCCCCAGCTCATGCCATGAGGTGACAGTAACCAAATGGAAAACCATGGAAACTCAACAAAGCGCTACCATCTCTTTGGCCAGAGATCGGGTCATGTGTCCAGGACTGAACTACAGACTCAGCTGGCCGAACCAACCAGAGGGCCTGTTACTCCGCGGCGACAGGAGAGAGCTCTTTGTCTCTTTCTCTGATTCACAGCAAAAGCAAATCTACGCCAACCCTCCCCCCAAAGAGCAGGCAAAAAGGAGTTTTAGTTAAAATAATATCTTGTCCGTATCATAAATATGATATGAAAAATAACACTAGCAATATCTACTGAGTGCTCACGATACACGAATGCTGTGTGTATCGTCTCTCTTAAGCATTAATTAGGACAGAGCGGCCTAGAAAGATCCATAATTTGCCCCACGTCACAAACATGGTAAGCTCGATGTTTGGAATTTAAACACATACCAAGGCTGACAGCATCTCCTCTCACGGTTATGGGTAAGGAGAGTACTGACCACCCGGTAACATAACAGACTTGCTCGAAGAACCTTGCGATTTACAAAGGCCAACTCCCACCCATGCTCTGGTCTGCAGAGGCAGGGCCGGCTGCAGGGAGACAAGAGCTCCTGGCAGGACCAGTCACCTTGGGCCCCGCCCGGTCCCAGTCCCCCTCTCTGTTCTCCTGGGTCTTTGTTCTCCCGCCTGAGCTGCTGGGAACCGCCTTTCGGGCTTCCTCAGCCAGAAGAACCTGGATCAGAAGTCCTACACAGCCCTGGCAGGTCAAGCGCCCGCGGGAACCAACATACCCAGACGCGAAGCGGACCCAGTGCCGTCACCCACCTTGGGCATGCAGACGACCAGATGCCCCGTGGATAGAGGGTTAGAAACATCAAT